TTTCTGTGAGGCAGCTGGCCTGGCGTTCAGCCGTGATAAGATAAATCCAAATTCAACCCAGAGACTTCCAAACCACACAGAGCCACAGACGCCAGGTGCACGGCTCGTGGATGTTCAAAGTAAAGCACAGGAATAAAAGTTCAAAGAGATGCACAATGACCACTCTGACAAAACGGTGGGCCGGGATAGTTAGAACGCTACAATGCAGAGTTGGCAGTCGACTCCAAACAGGTGAGGATTATATAACAATGTCATTTTAGAGTATGTGATCTATAATGAAGGTTCTTACAAAAATAAAACTTGTTGTATTCTTTAATCTCAATAACATTCAGTTCAACTTCTCATTCAAAATAGAGCTGGTAGAATCTGGTGCTCAATATGCATTTTCTTAGTGGGGGAAATGTAATTATTATCAGGGGTATATAAGTGGTACGCAGGTACGCATGCGCAGCAAATATCAGAAACGCGTACCGTCACTTGAGTTAAGCGCTTTTGCGTACTTCACATAGACCAGTCTTTCTCAAATAGTGGGGGCTCCTCCCTAGGGGGGCGTGGTGCTATAACATCCTCCGTTCTGACCTACAGTCTATGGTTCTGACCCCGGGAGAAACTGTGGCCGGTTTGTCAACTCAGCGAACGCCCGCGGACCATAGACGCGCCTACAGAACCATACACACGCGATCAGGACCGTCCCCAGGTTGTTGCACGTGCGGGTCTTGCCTGTCTCCCCCGTCTCCCCCCGTCTCCCCCCGTCTCCCCCCGTCTCTGCCCCGTCTCTCCCCCATGCCTCTCCCAAGTCTCCCCCATGTCTCCTGACGATACACTGCATTTTAATTGACAACTGTCATCTCTCAAATTCTTTTGAAATTATGTTTCTATCTGCTAGAGGCCGAGATATCAATCATTCTGTAGACGTTGAATTTCAGGAAAACCTCAGGTTTTGGAGGGTGGTTCTAAAATTGGCCGTATAGGTTTTACAGGTCTGTTTTACCAGCTGTGTCAGGCCTTAATGGGTTATTTGACTTGGATTGAGTGGATTATCTGAGCTGATCTAAACTCTAGCATTAAAAAGAAGCAAGTATAAAATCTTGATTAACTCATTACGTAACCAAATAGTAACGTTGTCTGCCATTGACGTGTTAACTTTGCTATTTTTACGTTCCCAGATGTCTATTGTATCTAATGTATGAGGATGGCTTGAGACCATATTTTATCTAGCCAGCAGGTGGCAGCATTTCTCTCTGAATGGTTTGAAAACAGCCAGATGCACATGTTGTGCCTCTTTTTTCTCAGCTTTTTGGTGATTTCAGTAAAACTTCCCTCTACTCAACTGGGGATTACAGGGGAACAAAACAAGCTAGAAACAACATTATTTTTGCTGATGAAAGCAGACAGTCCATTCTTTCACAATCTGGGTTTGGATCAGATAGTCATAGTACACAATATTCTGTGGGTCTTGAAAAATCAGTAAAAATCATCAGAAACGGCTGGCAATATGGGAGTACCTGTTCTGAAATAGGCTGGCAGGCAATGAGTTAATAACCGCGCGACAAATGGAGTGAGTACCAAACACCATGTCCTGGTACTCATCTGAGTACCTCACTGAAAAATTATGTGCACCCCTGATTATTATATTCCTTCAATTTTATTTTAGATAAATAACTAACCACTTACTAACTAACTAATAATAAAACAGGCATTGTATTTCACCCATGTCATGGCCTCAAGTGACATTTTGCATATGAATAAGGAATATTGTGCTTTTTAAATTAGATTTACTATACAACATGAATTTTCCTCTTAAAGCAGGTTTGCCAACAGAGAAGCAAACAAAATCTTGAATACCATCACATTCTGTACTGCTGCTGAAGGAGACATGGCTCTTGACCTCCATTTATGGCACAATGAACTTTTGTACTTTTTAATTAATTGAAAATTCAACAAAATACATACATATTGTGCTTTTACCCAAACCTTTATAGGCCGTTGAAAAACCCTGACTCTTTTTAACATCAGTGGTTGCCATTGGTTACCCACTGTCCTCTGACCCTGATCTGACTCTAAGATTACATCAATGAACGCAGTCATCAGAGATGCTCATTTCATCAAATGCAAACATTCCTATTCCAGAAGCAAGGTCATCCAAGACGCTGGTTATGCATTACAGAAGAATATTCATGTTATCTCATGAATAACCTTATCTTACAGGATGAAACATTTAGCTGTATGGATTGAATGTTTGTAGAAAAATGTGTTCAATTGATTATTTCTACGCTGCATATTGTTTGTGGATTCAGCAATCCACCAACACTGGATAAAACCTCTACCTCCTCCCAAACAAATAAACTACCATATGCTATCAAGACATGCAAAGATTCTTTCAATCACTTATTTACTTTTCTAATCAATATTGCAGTAAATCAATCATAGAACACAAGCTCCTCTTTCCTCGGAGTGGAACCAATCGCCTTTTGAAGTTGCCTGATGACCACCACAAATAACTACAGCTTCAGGGACACATGCTCTACAGCTCTGCTCCACTGTGGCACCTGGTGTTCTAACCTGCTCTCCACTTACCCTCTGAGATCTTTCAATATCAGAATGAGAAATGGAAATGTATTTGCATTTCAGCCAGTTTACTTTCCCATCAAACAGAATACCAGTATACCAATGTGTGCTTTTACTCGAGTACATTTGCATGAGAAATATGTGAATCCTAACTTGCTCTATGAGGAGTGGCAGAGGCAAATGGATCTGTGGTGATGCTTTTGAGAGCTGCAGTGAAATAAAGATGAACATACTGGAAGAGAGCTCTGTTTTCTGTTTGCTTGAAGCGTCTCTGTGTTTCGCTGCCAGTTTTTAAACGTGGAAGAAATGACAAATGTGATGTAAAAATGGAAACGTTTTAACACTGCAGTATACTTCATTTATTCACTTTAATTCATTTTTTTATACTCAATTATTCAAATTAAGTGATTTCATAATTATGCTTCTCAAAATGTGTTATGCAGGCTGACTGATGATACACAAGATTTGTTTATTTTTGTCATACTCAAAGTCATTATTCTTTCACTTCCTAAACGCTGGTGATACTGTAAACTACTACTATAGCCACAGCTGCCCTGGGACACACTGACAGAAGCGAGGACACCAGTATGTACCATCGGCCCCACCAACCACCACCAACCATTCACGCACACACCAGTCTCGTTCTGGGTAAGGACACATTCTTGCCTAAGGACACAACATCAGTTTGGCACTTTAGAGCTGCAGCCGCCCCTCTGTGTTTAGGTCTGGATACTCAACAACCGCTCTGTAACAACTGCCTGTTTTACACATTTATACATAAAATAGCCAGAAAATACTCTGTGGGAAGCCAGAGGTTCTGAATGAGATGTTCCATTCTTGTGGACGAGGAAATCACAATCACAAACGGTTCAAGTTGGAGCTGTGCGACTGCAGCCTTTATTAGCAGCTTCACTATAGGGCTTTGCGGTGACATTTCTGAGCCATTTCTCCCTTCATTACTTGCATCAGTAAAAGGTCAGACTCCTGCATGTGGGCCCAGCCCTCCCAGGTGTCCCCTGCACCCTCTGCCTGTTTTAACATCTGTTGCTCACACACGTCTTGGTCGTCATTACTTATGACTTTACTGATTCAAGAAATGGTCAGAATGAATGGAAACAGCACAAAACATCACTGCTGAGAGACGAAGACTGGACTGCTGCTGAGTGTGTGTGTGTGTGTGTGTGTGTGTGTGTGTGCGTGTGTGTTCGTGTGTGTGCGTGTGTGCGTGCATGTGTGCGTGTCTTTGTGTGTGTCTATGTCTGTGTGTGTGTGTGCATGTGTGCGTGTCTTTGTGTGTGTCTATGTCTGTGTGTGTGTGCATATGTGCGTGTCTATGTCTGTGTGTGTGCGTGCATGTGTGCGTGTCTTTGTGTGTGTCTATGTTTGTGTGTGTGTGTGCGTGCATGTGTGCGTGTCTTTGTGTGTGTCTATGTCTGTGTGTGTGTGCATATGTGCGTGTCTATGTCTGTGTGTGTGCGTGCATGTGTGCGTGTCTTTGTGTGTGTCTATGTCTGTGTGTGTGTGTGTGTGTATGAGTGAAAGAGAGAGCAAGAGGGAAAGAGAGGAGAGAGAGCAAGAGAGAAAGAGGAGAGAGAGAAAGAAAGAAAAAGAGAGGAAACAGAGTAAGAAAGAGAAGAGAAAGAGAGGGTAAGTGAGAAAGAGAGAGAAGAGAGAGAGAGAGAAGAGAGAGAGAAGAGAGAGAGGATGAAAGAGAAAGAAAGAATGAGAGAAAGGAGAGAGAGAGGGAGAAAAACTCACCAAGTAATCAACTGTAAAGTGGCCAAATCATGATGTCTGGCAACTTTAGATCAAATGTAAGTTTAAAATGTAAAAAAAATAGCCTCACAAACTGCCATCGAGAGAGTCTGATCAGAATAGTTTCCACATTAAACAGTGCAGCCCGGGTCTGTGGTGTCTCCAGTGATGCTGAGGATGCGAGGGGAGTGGTGTTGGAGGCTGAACTTCCTGTCTGTCTCTCCGCATCCTCGCGCTTTCAGGGATAATTGAGCGGAGTGAAAGGCGAGGATTCATTCAGGGACCTTTCTAAGCGCTATGTGGACGCCCGGAGGCTCGCTGTTGATTCGACTACCGCCATGACATAAAAGCCCCGACTTAGAAAGGAGCAGGGAGACAACGAATTGCACTTTCAAGAACACGGAGAAGAGGGGAAAGTGCGTGCGCGCGTTTGGATGCTTAATTTCACTGGGAAAATCCACGACAATAAAGAGCAAAAACTTGTGAATTCGTAGCTCCACACCGCAGACTTTTACTTGGATCGAAAGAAACAACACTCGTTTTGCGCGCTTTTTTTTGGAGCTTGGTGTGTTTTGGTGCGTCTTGAGTGCGCGCCTGGTTTTTGGAACTCTCAGACGCGTGTCCGGTAGAGTGCGTGTGCGCGTGGGGAATCACTAAAAAGACGATGCTGGAGGGAAATGCCTGGAGAACGAGAGGATGAGATTTGTCGAAAGGCGCTGGAGCTGCTGTCCGAGCTGTGTTCCAAGGGAGAAGTCCAGGATGACCACTGCCTGGACTTCATCTACTACTTCCGGGACTTGGCCAGACCCCGCTACACGGACTCAGGTAAAAGTCCATGTCAAAAAGAGAGAAAGAAAAGAAAAGTTGGGACACTCGTATGAGGCATTAGGGCGCAGGGCAACGTGTGCGTAAAAGTAGTGTAATTAGTAGCCATCATGGGAGGGTCCATTACAACTGTGCTGGGTGGATGGCATCGATGGGTGAAGGCATGCATCCTCCATCATGGTGCCTGACTTGTATTATTGTATTTAAAATAAAATAAAACATTAACATTTTAGCATAAGTTCAACAATAAGTACATTAGTTTGTGGAAAAAGGAAAGGAAATCCCATTAGCACTTTGTCCAAGCCAGGGTTTTAATAGTCCATTCTCTACCAATGTAATATATACACACACCAGCACACACACACACGCACACGCACACACGCACAAACGCACACACTCTCCCACACTCACACACACATCCAGACCTGTATTCCTGGAACAGCATTATCTCAAAATGAAGTTAAATTCGCCACTGTATTGACAATATCAAAAGAAAAAAAGCAGATGGCAGGTGCATGATGGGATATAGGCCTATGATTTCTTTATTACTGCATTGACATTTTAGCTTTTACTGTGTCAACTTTGTTCACTTCATGAAAGCTAAATTAATCAACAGATCTTATAAATAAATGAAATGGGTGGATTTTGAGAGCTTCATTAAGGTTTAATCCCACTCAAACTCAACAGTGTTTTTGCAAATGCCTAAAGAGTGCCAAGTTGTTGGCCACATGTACAATGCCTTTCAGAATAGTGTAGCACAAAACCACCGAATTACAACAAAGTAGATACAGACATGCAATCATGTGTGGGTATCTTTATCATAACAATGAAAACAACTTTTTGAGTTCTCCTCCTGATGAGGCAACAGGAAAGAAACACAGGAATACAAGGTTATCAAACTATAACATAGACCAGGGCTGTCAAACTTATTTATGTCGAAGACCAAATTCAACAACAAAAAAAAAAAAAAAATTGCAATGATTATACAATGATATGATACAAGAAAATGATATGGTTGTTTTCCTGAGAATGCTTTAAAATGAAGTATGACACGCCATAGTAGCCCATCACCAATAATGCTGCAAGTTATTGTGATAACGATAATTGAAAATAATTCAAAGGACACTAAAAATGGTCTCGCTGGCCGACTTTGGCCCATGGGCCTGAGTTTATTTTTATTTAACCTTTGTTTAACCAGGAAAATACCCATTGAGATCGACATTTCTTTTTCAAGGGAGTCCTGGCCAACAGGTCTGTAGCACACGTCACGGGCACATTACAGAAAAGTTTGACATGCGTGTCTTAGACCATTTACAGTATATTATATGATCTCCCATGATTGTAGCATTCACCTGATCCAGAGGTTTGGGGGAAATAATTACCATGTTCCCTATTCTTATGTGATAAGAATAGACTGTGAACTTGTTGCTTGCATGTATTAGCACATGTCAAAAGCGGCATAGAGGCTCCGCGTTGTGTGTGCATGTGTGTGTGTGTGTGTGTGTGTGTGTGTCAGTGCGTGTCAGTGTGTGTGTGCTGCTTGACAAGTGAAACAAGGCCCCACCCTGTTCTCCATCAGCCATTATCTCTCTGTACAAGGAGCTCAAGCAGTTTTAAGGAAGCTGAGATCATAGGACGCTCGCTTGGCTTTTCAACGGTTATAAAATAGACATATCTTGGCTTTAGGTGATTTTGTCTATTTCAAAGTACTAACTGAAAGACTAGAGAAACAAAGCTATAACTAAAACAATTGAAGTGAAGAGGAAAAAATTCTCAATGAAAGATTTTTTGTGATGCACAGTTTGTATCATCCATATATTGTATTAGTCCCAGTCTTGATAATTTGATTTTACACCACTATGCCCAACACTCTACATACAGCTGCGAGATTTATTGCAATGCGATGAAATTTGCAATTAGACTGGCTGTAATTTGCACTTCTAGATGACTGCAATTATTCAGATGCTGTATCAAACAATGAACTATTCATCTACAACCCTTTTTAATTGCACAGATTCTTGGATCGGTAAACCAGCTCATATCAGCTCCTGGATCTGTTTAAACTGTTGGCCTTTCACTAGGACGTCCCCTACTGCAAGAAACTGATTTAAACATAAGATAGCTGGAGCCGATTTCCTTATATGGGCAGGGGTTAGCTTTGCGCCATAACAGAGGTAGACGAGTTGCTAAGATGGTTGCTAAGGCAAACTGGGGAACACGAATGAAAGCCTTTGATTGGTCACTCATACAGTATTTTTTTAAATACATTTTTTAACTTGACCTTTATTCAACCAGGAAAGTGAGATTAAGAACCTCTTTTTCAAGGGAGTCCTGGACAAAAGTTACGCACAATTACAGATAAAAAAAACAGTTATACACAATTTCACTCTCATACTTGGATTTACAAAAGATTATATCAAAATATAAACACGAGGATCACAGAGAGCGATAAATCATGGATCCTCTAATCCCAAAATGGTGAGTCTGACACAAATGGTTACTGAGGAGTATACATTTCAATGTAAGTCAATAGCAGCCAAAACTTTATCCATGAGCACATCACTCTTGGGCTTTATTTAGCTTGTGGGTTAGCTTAGTCCATCTGTATAGAGAACAGTCTTTGGTTTGAACTGTGTGTGTGTTGTCCAGTTTTGTCTTGTCTCGTACCATCAGTTTTACACCAATTATTGTAAATTGTATGGTATTATATGTTTTTTTGTTGTTGGTGATAATTGTTGCTACACCTGCGCAGGCTTGAAATAAATACATTCAAATTAAACTGAGAATTTAGAATGCCACCCATAAATCTGACAATAATTCCAAATGATTTCTTTCCCAAAGCCCTAAAGCCCTAGTACCAATCTATTCTTAAACACATTGAAAAATTACGCAGACTCTCGGTCAACACTATAAAAAGCAAAAAATCTAATCCAAACATAACATTATCATGAGAGTCTGACAGAACAGGAGCGAGGCACTACAGGACATGGGATTTTACAGCAGCATCTTCTTCATTATGGGCAACTTTAAACTTCCGCAGTTCGACCTTTTAATATTTACACCGGAGTGGAGCTGCGTACAAAGTTGTGCAGTAACTTTTGGCAGACTTCTTTTCACACTGTCAGAACACATGTGAAACGTCCAAACCAGATGATTTTTAAAAAAAAATGTATTTAGATTTTATTGAGGACTAACATGCAAGCACAGGATCCATGGTTAAAAATAATGAAAGATTTTTTTTTTGCTTGGGCATTATATATGACATTATCATCATCATCACCATGTGATCATCATGTGTTTCCTTGTTACACACAGTTAAATTGTGAGAAACAGAGGTATTGTCTCCCTAAGTCTGGCATATCACTGTTTCTATGACACTGTATTTGTTGTGATGTTGGAGGCCATATTCTGAGCAAACTTTCAGCAGTTGCAGAAATCCAGCACTACTCTGGGATAACTGGAGAATCACCAACCACACATCCTGTTTTACTGTGATTCAGTTTCTGGGACAGCTCCTCCATTTACGGGTTAAATAGAATCCCAAAGTAGGCGGGGAGCGTGTTCCTCCATTTGACCTGCATTCTCTGATTAGAGGAAACCAGTAAACCAGGATTCTTGTGATGCTCTCAATCCTCTGTGTCAGTATAAAAACACATATATTTCTTTATACTGTCAAATGCCTTCTATGCATCTAAATTTGAACACATTTGACCAAACCTGACTCTCGCTAGATCCTAGCTCCACAAGGATCTGGGATATCTCAATGGGAGATGTATATTAGACGGCGGGGCCTTGTTAAAAAAAATCATTGTATGTGATTGGATAAACCACTTCGACCAATCACATCAAAGCACACGACTCCTCGCTGCGTGCCGCTATTGTTTGAATCAAACAGTGTCCCAAAATCCCATCCAGCGATCCTGATTGGTTCATTATTTTTTTGCTATCTTGAAGGAGTTTGCATTGCCCTCAATCCCAGATCCTTGTGTGGAGCTCAGCAAAACGCCTCTGGTGGATCATGGCGGAACTACAAGGAGTCAGGTTACATTTTGATTGCCTTAAAAGGAGATTTGCAAATGGGGCAAGCAAAGTTATCGATACAAGAAATGTCTCCCTTGAAATGATAAAATAAAGCAACAGTTCTTGAAATGACACCAAATGGGTTTGTCCCATTGGCAAATCATATTTTAAGACAGTTGAACTCGAAAACACTCGATTTAAGCAAATATTAGCTAATAATGTATCACTTCTTTCAGTGTATAAAGCTCAATATCACTAAAGAGTTTTTTCATAAGTGCAATTGTTCAGTCTCCTTCATTCCAGTCACAGTGAGACTCAATATTTACTAGCATGTTAATTAATATCCCATTTGGTTATTGGCCCAAACACCACTTGTCATTCATCCAAACCACCCCCCCCCCCATGTCTGCATGTTTACTTGAGCATTGCATGTGCTTCTCAATAGCAGACGCGCATGGGCCACAGCTTTTATACATGTTACAGTCGATTATGAAACATGTATGATGAGGAGGATGTTGTTGCATTCAGATGAGATCCCCTGAGGAGCCGTGACCCACTTGCTTTTGTATCAGGCGTTCTCACACAGCGCGCGCACACAAACAAGCCTCTTCACAAACCGCGAGGTGAGCCACTGGAGTTATTTCGTGTACACCAATTATTCAATCATTCACCCGTCCCTTTTGGTCCCATTCACTTAATCTTGCAGCGCTTGAAAGCAGGTCAACTGAGTGCGTACCGAAAAAACTTACCATGGAGCCAAAAACAGTTCTCTGAGGCACACCTTTGATCAATTATACATAAATTCAGGCTCGCTCTGATACATTACAATTAAGGCGCTGATTCAAGAGGCTATATGTTGAATGCTCGCTAACTCTTGGAACAAAGAAGCATTTTACCTCCCAGTCACGGAGAAATAGACATTATTAGAAAATCATGACTGGGGAATGAATCAGTATGGAGTTTTATGTGGCCAGATTTGT